AGAGAGAGAAAGAGAGAGAGAGAGAGAGAAAGAGAGAGAGAGAGAGAAAGAGAGAGAGAGAGAGAGAGAGAGAGAGAGAGAGAATATGGAAAGCATTTTGTTTATGTACTTTTTTGCACAAAGAAAAGTTAAAAATCGTAGAACATTTTCGGAGCACAACAAACAAACAAACAAACAAACAAACAAACAAAGAAGCAAACAAAAAGTAAAAACACAAAAAACAGTTAAACACGAACATAGTCCAATAGAGAGAAAACAAATCTTTATTAAGCAAGTCTCCTCGTTTGTCAAATATACAGCAGCTGTAAAAACATAAAATAGTGTCGAAAATCTAGGATAGTGCGCATGGAAACAATTCTGAAGTGTCACAACAGTCCCATTTTGTGCGTCTCGCTTTCTTGTGTAGCTGAGTGAGTGTAAAGAGTATATATATATGAATATCAACACATAAACACCCATTCGGTGCACGAAAAGAGTGAGATAGACAGACAGAAACAGAAGAAGGAGAGAAAGGAAATAGAGCCCCTACCAGCATCGCCTCCCTACCACTCGCGCTGTCATGCTATAGTTTGTCCAATTGAAAAAGACTTGCTTTTTTCTGCGGATACTTTTAACTGCATGGACCAATTTTTTAAAATCAAATTTAAAAAAAGTAATTTTACATCCAACTGTCTCACTTAATTGTCAGTTCGTGTGTAAATGGTTCTGGATCGAGTATTCATAAGCAATACTAATTTTCTGTTTGTTATTGTAAAACAATAATTCATGGAGACGAAACGTGAAGTGTGACTCGTATCTGCTTAAATGACACAGTAGTCCAAGTCGCAGTAGGCGGTGAACCTTACACTATTTTAGTTTATATTATTGTCGTACTAAATATTGTGAAGGTATCGGGGAAGGACGATTTTTCTTACTTTGAGATTCTACTCTTTGAGTAGCGTCAAAGATTGTACATAACAAGATAGTTCACTCGGCCAAAAAAGTGTCTGTGGAAGACCGCGCATTGGTTCAGATGTCGCTGCAGTCTTTGTTTTGAAGCTCTCTTTGGTATCTCCAAAAGAAAAACAGGAATAATCAGCTGTTCCGATTCACTCAGTGCGGAGTTTTGAGACTATTTTATTTTTATGACCTCTCGCCTCTAGCTCTAAAGTCAAATTAAACGAAGAAAACAGTCGCCCCTTCCACCACAAGAGGATTATTGTCAACGTAACCATTCTACCACTTTGCAGTCACACAGCCAGCAGTACAAAATACCCCATCTGGTCACCTAGCCAGGAGAGCGACTGCAACCGACTTCTTGGGCCTGGCGCAATGACCGGAATGGACAATTTAAACCGGCCCATTATTGCGCCTAGTGACCGAAAAGTGTTAAAAGGCGCTATTCCGAAATTTTAATTACAATTTATACAAAGACTTGTTAGTTACACTTTGATTTTTTCCTCACCCAAGTAGGGTAATCCTGTTCGCAAAGCGAGCGCTTTTTCGAAGAAGGCGCCACCGGAGTTTTTAATTGGTTAAAAAAGAGGAGTGAACCATCTTGTTATACAGAATCTTTGGTAGCGTTCATTGTTCTCTAGACAGAAGAATCCGCGATGCATAACCACACTGCAATTTCTCAAGTTTTGGAAACTTCAAGTTATCATGTCGTTTTCAAGACAAATTTTTGCTTGTTTGAAATAAAGTAAAAATATGAATAAAACCCATAATAAAATATGGACTGGAACTATGCAGTAAATGTATTTTATTTTTCAACCTCAGACGGCCACGCAGAAAAATGCCATCCGTCCGAGGGAGAAATGATCAATCATATCAATCTATAACGTTAACAAAAACAATATTGCTTGAAAAGTCTTCAGAATTGCTATGCATTTAAAATCTCACAACGTCTCAACGTAAATGGAGTCAAAAGCTACTTGTCAAAAGGGTATTTAATGTTTCCCTCCCAGTGCCCGTATAGCGGCAACAGCTAAAGTGATCCTTTGAAGAGAAGATCCACGTTCTCTTACAGCCACCGGAAGTTCCGTCACCTCCGAGAAGGACTTCCGCCCGGCACCAGGGGGCGCGTTAGATCCCCGACGAGATGTGACGTCATCCTTGTAGGGATCTAGATCCGTGCATTCCCGGAACAATCCGTACCGGTCACATGGCTTGTAACCGTCAGAGTGGTATACGAAGGGAAAGGTATGGGTCATCATGACCTGACCTTTTGAGTTGACGTAACGGCTCATGGTCAGGTGGTCTGGGGAGGGTAAAACATACCGATGTATCATCACTCTTGGAAAAGCAATCGCACCAGTTGTAACGGTAACCTGTCCAAGACACTTACCTAGGCCAACGATCACTTCCTATCCCGCTCTTTCCCACGTCACTTTTTCGCTTTATTCAATCATATTATTATAATGCAATTGTCCATGGAATCCACTCCTCGACGGGAGACCATCTTTGACAATTTCGACTGTACAAACAGAAAAAAGGCCAGGTGCTCACACGGTAAGAGTATGAGCGGTTGGGTTTTTTTAGGGGGGGAGGGGGGGGGAATGCAAATTGCTGTGCGTTGGATTTATTGCAGACAAGATCAAGTTGATTCGACGTGTGGAGTAGCCGTACTTCTTTATTATCAAAATCTACTTCTATGGTTATATTTTTCTCGCACTGCTGGTCGCCAAATTCATAATAATGTTTGTATTAGGGTCCCACACTCTTCCCTTTACAAAGCGAATAGCTTACACTGCAAGAAGGTTCACTTTCAAATTAATGAAGCGTCGTTCCGTTAAATTTTGACATGCACATTTATAGGCCTAGATCTAGATCTGGAGATATCAACATTGAAAAAAAAGGACAAAAAGAAACAAAGTTTTGCATCGTGTCTTAAATAAAAAGGAGATTCAGACGTGTCCGTGGATGCAAAAAAGAAAAAAGAAGTTTTGCACCGTGTTTCAAATAGAAAATAGATCTGCGATTGAGTTCTGAGCCGTTTTCTGGAGAAATGAAGATCCACTTTTGTCCACGGTACTGTGTACAGCAGGTAACAAACATAAAAAACAAAAAGTAAAAACACTATCAAGCTTAGAATTCTATTTCCATTTTTCCGTGATGAGTAGAGGTGTGTGTGTGTGTGTGTGTGTGTGTGTGTGTGTGTGTGTGTGTGTGTGTGTGTAATCTTTCTGAATTACAACCATTAATAGCAACGTAGGCGACCCGAGTTCATATTAACACTGAAACTGAAAGTTTAAAGTCACCGACACTCTGTATTCCTTCTCGTTCACAAACGAGGACAATCCTGCATTGATTTGCAACAGCGTATTCTATTCAGAATTGCAGACCTGGGACACATCGTACGTTCCGAAATTTTAATA